ACAGGCAAGTAGTCTCTCCTCCTGACACCCTGGCAGCTTTTCAGGTGTTGTCTCAGAATAACTGAAATTATTGCCCGCACCAGCCTTTGGAGCAGCCCAGGGATGATCAGCAGCTGCACTGAGCTGTCAGGAGCCACGAGTGACATGTCTATGGATTAATGCCCTGGCCTGTCAGGATGGCATGTATTTGCTGTGTGCAGAAGATGGCACATTCCACTTTCCAGTAAGGAGGACTTGCTTTACAATAGACCTCTGCAGTCCCTAGAGCAGCAATTTTTTCTGTCACTGAATGTAAACAATCTACAGTCTGGAATAAAATATGGTATACTAAGCCACTGAATTGATAGAGTTTCATATTCCTCCATGGCAGATGTTACAAATATGCAGACAGTCCTTATTGATCCAAATGGTTTGCAGAAACTCCATTTGAAAGCATATGTTTCTCTGCTTGACATTTTGACATGAATGACAAGACAAAGCTAGGAATGCAAATGCGCAAGAAGAAACTGTTCTTGTGTTGTAAAAGCACATTCCCCCTGTCAAAGAGCCGGGTAAATGTTGCACAACTAATCACAGCCCAGAAAGATGTGTGAGCCGACCTACAGACATAGAAGAGGAAAGGAAATCAAACAGAACGGACTTGAAACAGCCAGTCATGGCCTGAGACGATCAGCACAGCCCAGTACAATCACTATTTCTTCTCTCCATGTGCCAGGACCAGTCTGACTTGAGTTTTCCCAGTTAGTAACACGTGAATTTTAGGAAACCTCTATGTAAATAATGACAGCATCATCCAACAACCTCTATGTTCCACAGTCCATAGCCTGGGGTGCATTCATACTCTGATAACAGCATTTTCTCTATTTCCAAGCCTCACCAGCCCCTATTGATGGGTATTTCCCACCTCACCTATGCCATCAGCACTCTTCTCAGGAGACCTGCAGCCTCCCAGATACTCCCCCTGCTCTCCAGGGTTGCCTCAAATTCCCCTTCCCCAGCAGCTCCCCATGCCAATGTTGCTGTGGGGTTCCCCTGCCCTCCTCTGTTCCCACAGCAGCAGGCAGGAGCTCTGTGGGAAGCTTGCAGCAAATTCTGCCAAATGCCACCTCACTCCACACTCACTGTGCTACCACCTCAGGGTGCCCGCAAGGTGTATGCTGAGCTGTGGGCTCTACTGCCACATGAATGTTTGCTATACTGCAAGCTGAAAGCTTTCATGAACAAAGCACCCTCACAAAAAAATAAAAAAGGTTTCCCACCATCATTCAAACTGCCTTTAGAATCAAGCAAAACTTGGCATTATGTTTCCCTGAACATGTCAGCTGATATGCGGGAACTGCTAAATTTCAACACTTTTAAATGCTGTACCTGCCTACACCTGGCACTTCTCATGAGTTTCTTCTGTCAGGTTATCTGCCCAGCAGCAGCAACAAAGCCAACACTGGAAAGCAGCATCCTTATAGGGAGGCAAAACCACAGCACACATGGACACATTGCACTCCATCACCCAGGACAGGACACTCCTGTCCCTTCTTATCAGGGCAATGGTCAGCAACCAGGACCGAGCTCACTCCTCTGAAATCCTTGCTAATGTTCCCAAATGAAAGAGAGTCTGCAACTGCAAGTGATCTTTCACCTACAGTCATCCCAGATTTATTTATGGGCAAGGACTCTCTGTCTCAGGATGAAGCAGTAGCTCCCAAACCTAATTTCATGCCCACTTTTCAGTAAGGCTGCTTATGGCTGTGGGACGCTACACCACAAGCCCTGGGCACAGAACAGTGCTACTCCATGCTCAAGTTCTTTAAATCTTTAACCTATACTAATTTCAGCAGACTAAAATGATGCTTTCTCTACATAAGACAGGGAAACATTCCAGTGACTGCTTAGATTTATTTGCAAATATGCATTTCAGCACTTTGGTGGGCTGGAATATTTTGCTTCTGGCAAGTATTTAACTTGACAGGATTGATCCAATATACATCACATAAAAAACCCACATTAAACAGAAATCTTTTTCTGCTGATACATAGAAAAAGCTACATAAATCTGGGATCTCTGTTCTTTGCAGTTCATTGTCATGGTTGCACAGTCTTTTGCTCTTTGAGCTGCACTTCTCACCTGCAGTGCTGGGCTCTACTTAACCACTTTGAAAGTAATTCCATCAGAAAAAAATACATACATTTTACAAGATGGAAAGAAAATAAGAAAAAATTTAAGTATAGAAATATCTCCAAGATATTTCTTTTAATGAGTGAGTGACTTTCAGAATGAGAGTCTAAAAGCAGCTGTTGTAAAACCTCAGGTTCCACATCCCCTCTCATACAGTTTTAGTTATGACATTACAACAAAACAATTATTAAGAAGAAAAATAAAAAACCCTCTTGAAAACAACTGGGGGGATTTTGAGCTGTGATTTGCACCTAGAAATGTTTCAGATGATAACTACAGTACCTTCACATGTAGCATATGATTCAGAAATCAGATTCTGTCCCAGCCAGCCATCCAAGCACCCAAAACTTTGGCAACATGTGCAGAGACTTTTTTTTTCCCCTCCCCGCCCTTTTGTTCAAGCTTTGTCCTTAGCCTGCTAATTTCCATGTCTACGTGTATCTATGATTGTGAGCACTTATCCCCCTCTTCACGTGATAGAGACTAAAACAGACAGAAACCTTGACACCCTCATAACTACAAAACTTTATAACTGCAACAACAGAACCAGTTACTGAAAGATGAGTCATCTTCCAAAGAATTACAAAAGAAAAAAAGAAATTAAAAAAGACAAAACAACTCTCTCACGATGGTGCTCCCTTACAACATGATGTGAAGTTATGACCAGCATTAATTGATTCCTAAGCAAGCCAATATCAGTTTAAGTGGGGATAAAAGAAAGTCAGTTAAGTAGTACCTTGTAAGTGCACACTTAAAAATAAAACATCAAAAAACTCCTCTAGTAGGGCTGCCAGTAAATTTAGGAGAAGATAAAACTCAGTAAAATCTGACACCTTACACTTTATTTGCTTCTGTTATTGGTTACCTTACAAGCCTGAAGAAGCCACGTTTCTGTTCTGCTTCCCACCAATCTGAACAGCAGCAAAGCAGTGTCCTTATCCAGGAGTTCAGAGACACGTGCAGCTAATACTGCTAAGCCAGAACTCTGACCCAAACCTGGAGAATTGAGAGGTTTATGGGTAGCTGATTGAGGCTGATTTTTCCCAGCTGCAGACCTGAACAGCCCTTGGGAGTATCTCCCAGCCAGCAGCCCACAGCTGGTTTGGGTGCAAATCACTGATTGAAGCTGATTTTCCCCAGCTGAGTCACAATCAAGCCAAAAAACAGGCATCACCAAAGAAATTATTCCAACTCTTAAATAATATAACAACTGTTTCTGGTAGAACAAATGCTGTTTTTATTTGTTTCCTAAAAATTAAGGAAAATAATAATTAACTGAGGCAACTGCTTGTATGATGGAATTGAGGCTTCTCATACAAGTAATACAGCTTTGCTAAACATGAGTTGTAACCACCCTTTTCTCCCTCCCCCTTCACCACGTTTGTTTTTACCTTTAATTTTGCTTCTCTTCAGAGTTTTCTTCTGACTTTCTCCTTGCATTCCCCAGGGTTGCCAAAGGATGTGGATTCTTTAAGAAATTTCCAACAGGGTCCCCCAAATGTAATGTGTTTACATTTATGTCATTCTTTAGCTGCTCATAATGTAAGTTCAAGTCAGTAAAGCAAAATAAAACAACAAGGTCTGAGCACTGTAATTGCTGTATTGCCCCACTAACATGATTTTCTCTCAATGCTCCACTTGTCACCAACTCAACAGCTTTAAGCCTATCTTAAAGGAGAGCTATACCTAAATTTGAACAGACTTGAGGAAGAAATTTTTTCTCTAAGCAATTTTAGCATACATTTTAAGCTCTAATCCGTGTTACGTGCTCAAAATTTTAATAAATGTTCCTCTTTCTGGTTCATTTTTGAGACTCTCAGAACTTTTTCCTTTTCAGAGCTCTTGCTGAATACAAGTCATGGAAAGCAGTGCTCTCAAGTTCAATATTAAGATCCAAATCTTCACCTGCTGAAACTCAGTAAGCTTGACCCACTCACTGGAGGGATACTGATTTACACAGGTGAGAACCCAGGTTTAAGTGTTTTATTCTATCAGCAGACTGAGAAAAAGTGAGTTGTTTCGCTGAGATTTCCTCTACAGTGCAGCAATGGTTATCAAAGCAAGGCAGATATTGGGAATTTTACTTTGCAAGACAAGTATTGCACACATGTAGTAACTCAGCATAAGAATGTTCTATCGAGTTTCAACTCTGGAATTAGAAAGCACAATTACTCTTTTTCTCCACTGCAATAGGAAAACATGACATACTAAGAAGTAAGAGCAACGCATTTTTCAGACTGAAAGCAGATTGCCCGTGGATTGCAAGCAAATAGAAGAAACTGAGTCACATTTTTGTAAGAAAATAAAGTAATTTCTAAACTAATGGATTAATAGAACAAGACACGCTACAAGTGCTGTGCCACAGATGTCAGCTTTGTGAAAGTTCATCATCAAAAGAGCACGACAAAAGGAAGATACATTTCATGTACAATCACCTTTGCAATGTAAACATCCCAGAGGAGCTAGAATATTCGAGATCATACATTACTCTCTTTTTTAAGTTTAGTCAGGGGAAGTTCCATTTGAAAATCAAGGGCACAGTTTGGTCTTCAAAGTTTTCAAAAGTTTCTGCAGTTTTTCTATTTCGACTTGCCAGATATTAAAAGTGAAGGGTCAAATCTGCAGGTGGTGTAAATAAGCACAGCTCTGTGAGAGCTTTCAGCTTATGCTCATTTACATCACATGGAAATTATATTTCTCACTTCTTCTGTGAGTAACTGCACATATATATATATATATGCATGTGTGTGGTGAATATATATTATATAGAAAGTGAATGCTTTGATCTGTCAAAAGGAAGATACAAATATAAAACAGGAGACAGGATATGAAAAACATACATTCTCCATTTACTTTGAAAAATGAAACTCATGGGGATAGAAACATTGTTTATGTTCAAGGAGAACCCGGTGATTTGCTTAAATAATCTAAAACCAAACCACTATCACATGAAGGATTTAACAGCTCCCTGTCAAGCCTGATAGGCTCAAGCTATGACTTGCTAACTTTTATATAAACAAATAACTAAGACAATGACAGATCCATCATAGATCCTTACTTTTACAGAATAGACCCTGGTGCAGCAAAGCACTCAAGGCAGTTAACTTAAAGCAACTGAATAGTCCCAGGGAGGTTGGCAAGCTCACTCACCTGCTTAAAATTAGGCACATATTTAATTTGAGACGTGCATTTTAACTGCATCGTTAATCAGTGAAGAACTTCAGCCTGTGCATAAAGCAGCTGCTTTTGAGAGGACTTCCACACATGCTTAAATACTTTACTGAATGAGGGCTGCGTGGTTTGAGTCTTCAAGATCCTGATCATCTTAGATGTAAAGCTACAGAACCCTCAAACAGGCGAGTCACATTCTATGCATAAGTGAGATCTAACGTTGTTTATAAGTTAAACCAGACTTCCAAACTTTACAGCAAGACTAAGCCAGGAGGAGAACACTGAATACAAAGAATGTTAAAATTAATACCCCCAAAAAACTGTATTCACCATCTGCCCCACAAATGCAGGTCAGTTAAAGTTATCCAGTATAACCAAGCCCAAGGTTGCAGATTGCACCCTTGTAGCTACTCCAGCATCTCCTTGCACCTCTTCTGGAGCATATTCCTCTGTTGCTGCTAAAATCCCGAACTGGTAATAAAGACAAGAGATTTTTTCAAATGCAAATAGTTGCACGCTTTCTCCTAAGCACCTTTACAGATTCCTGTGTGTGCATATTCTTATTAGTGCAGCTATTTCTGCCATAACTAATTAGTGTATTCATGGAAGAATTTTTTTCCTGTGGCCATAGGTTTGTTAAGATAACGATAAGAAAAAGTGTGACAAAAGAATAAAGAAAAAAAATCCCAAGTTTGTGTGGGACAAGTCTCTAAATAGGATAAATCTAGTCAGCTGAGTAGAGCATTATTCATTTTTAATTAGTTTGAGGCAAATAGTTCAATTTGTGCCAAGCTGCAAAATCACAGCATCTTCAGGAGGAAACAGCTTGTCAAGAGAGACAAATTAATTCCTGTAAGAGTACTCCTTCTATAAGCTTACCATCAATATTCGTTATTTAAAAAGTAGTGTGCTGAGTATGCTCTTCCATCAGGCTGGTTTTATGTCACAGGTTGACTTTTCCTCCCTATTGCTTAAACTAGAAATGTAAAAATTTGGGGACTTTAATCAGCCCATAAATATATCTGTTGTGTAATTATGCAAATCAAATTAGGAGCAGTCAATGGAATGTTTATTTATCAAAAAACCTGGCCCAGATTGCCTGCTGACTTTCTTGGGATGTGAAAGCATTTCTACCTTTGTTCAAACAGAATTTTTCACCTTAATGTAGACAGTGATTTCGCTGCACCAGGTTCTACAACCTTTTCCAAATAGCAGTGTTCTAATAAAGTGAAGAAATCCAGCTGGGAAGGGAAATTACAACCTAGTTATAGGGATACATTTGAGAAGACACTAAATTATCCCCATTTTGAAAGAGAGTGATGGTCCATTAAGCGTAGGTGGGGGAGCAGGGAGCCGTTATGTTTGGCATTCAAGACACTATTTGGGAAGGAAACAATGTGTTAGGTTTTGATTTGATTTTTTTTCTGTCATATGAAATTACACTGGTAATATTTGCAGAACAAGACATTAAATTAGCTATATGGGTTGCTCTATCTTTGTTCTCTGTGTCTCATAGACAAAAAAAAAAGTTGTGTTTTTTTTTTACAGCCATTTCTACCACAATTATAGATATGGCTATTAAAATGTTTCTCTTTACAAAATCAATGGAAAAAGAAAGCAGAGCTGTGCTTATAGTCATGAGCTTAGCCTTGCCATTCAGGGATATGACTTCAACAGAGAGCATTGCATCCATTATGTAACAAATTCATTGAAATCTTAAAGAAAGAAATGGCACCAGAGGGCACAGACACTGCAATGCCATTATCTCCTGCCTTTACAGTTCTTCCTTTGCTCACTCCATTGGTTCCTCCCCATTTTCAGTCATGTACACAAGAAAAAAAAATAAAAGCTGAGCAGTTTTTCTTAAAAGCTTTCCCCTTAACCTAAAACATGTTGTTCATCAGAGTGTTTATATATATATAATATATACCTCATAATATATATAATATATATTATATATATGTATAACAAAACAGAGAAAGTTAAACAGGAGCCACACAGCAGAGCAGACATGTAAAAACACAATCCAACAATCCTGTGTTTAAACTTAGAAACTGTGTGGAAGTTTAAATTCTTGTTAGAAGGAAAAAATTCTCTTTTTTTCTTTTTTTTTTCCTGTTTATTGTTTGTTGGATTTTAGTTATAATTCACCTTTCAAATATTTGTTACTGCTATGCTAATACCTGCTGTTAAGTTCTGCAAGTGAATTGTCATCTTGATTATAAAATAGGGTTCTGGGAAAAGGAGAGATCTGAGCATGGTGAATTTTTCTAGCAAGAAACAGATAACTTTTTTGCTCTTAAAAAAAACCCCAACAAACCTGTAAGGGAATAAGTGTTGAAATCCATGGAAAAAAAGAAAAGTATGGCCCTCAGTCCCAGTAACAGGTCTTCTTTGGCACTTGAGAACGACCACAAGTAGTTTGCCTTTTTATTCATATAGAACAAAATTTACAAAGTCATTCATACATTTTGTTTGTTTTTGTTTTGTTTTTTACTTACTTCTAAAATTGGGAATATTCAAAATACACTTTTACCCCACTTCATTCTTTCATTATTTACAAGTATATACAAGAAAAATGTAAGAGTTTGTTTGCTTTTTTTTTTTTGTTCCTTTTAAATTTTTTTGTATTAAAAAGCTCTGCTGGTTGTTTTACTGTTTGTTTTCATCATATGGATGTTCCATGCGAGGGCTCCATCGCTTCTGGAATGACTCCCCCCGGCACGGACTGGAATGACATTGGGATGGGGGTTTTCACGGGGCTCTGACGAAATAGTCCTCCGTTTGGTGACCTGTGTTTGCACTGTATGGAGGGCATGGTGGCTGAGCTGCTCAGGGGCAGCGGCAGGTTGCTGCCAGAGGCAGCTGTGAGTGTCCTGCTGGCACCATGAGTTGTCTGTTCTGGTAAAAAGGTGGTGACAGACAGTTGCGTGTTCTGGTATTCGCGCACGGGCTCCAGGGTCTGGGCTGGCTGCATGCCACCGATCTCCAGGGCTGAGATTTCAATGGACGCCGGAGAGATTTGCTTGTGGGCTATGTCTTCGTCAATTAAACTGTTCATGCGCCTGTGGACCTGCTCCAGATTCACTTCTTTGTCCTAGTGAGGAAGAAACCAGAACAATCAGTCCAAACACAATCTCCAACCCCGTCTGGCCCCCCTTCATTTCGTGTGTGTGACCGGAGTTGCTGATCAGTCGTTACATCACTTCGATTTCATCTGTGCCCATGCAAAACCTCAAGGTCTGCCCAACATCTCCAGCTGCAAAACACACTGAATTAAAAACACCAGCTCAATCTCAACCTGTAGAATGCCCTGTGTTGCCAATCCCATTCCTCCTTGGAGGTAAACAGATGGCTGTGGTCAGCTGATAGGATCTGGCACCAGGGACCAGCACATCCTTTGCTCACCTCGCACAAGCTGGAAAAAAAGCCTATGCCAGACAAACAAGCAAAACTGGGACTCCAAATTCCAATGGGCAGCTCTCCACCTTGTAACCATGTGACAGCTCACCACTGTCTCATCTATATGCAGTGCATTTTCTAAAGAGCACATCAGTAAAACATGTCAGTAAAAAAACCCACTGACTTCACGGTACTTGCTTCATTATGTCAAAATCTACTGGCCAGGGGTTGTGGTGGTGAAGAATTCTTCCCTTCCCATCAGGAAGCACTGGGTCACCCATGTGGCAACATAGCCCTACTGGAGCAGCACTGGGAGAGACCTAATCTGGGAACCCTCAGGAGGGGACCACATAGTTGTGTTTAGAACAGTTGCATGACCAGCTATAAGCTGTCTGTCACCTTGACACGCCATCTGGAAGAAGTCTGTCTGTGGTCAGAGCTTGGGAAGAAAATGCTGGTCTTTATAACATCCTCTGAAAATATATTGCCTAAGGTTTCTGGACTGGTCTCTTCAATAGGCTTTCAGGACCACTCACTCAATATGTTTTAGCTTCCATGAGGAAATACAGAAGAAAAAGTTGCCTTTAAAGCCTGAAGCAGCAAAGACCTGCAATGGGCTGTTTATCACCTCAGCCCAGCATTCAGGATGCTGAAATTGGAAAGCAAAAAAACTGGCAGGGTAAAGTCAACCACCTGGGATGCTGTATAACTGAATTTTAACAGCTAGCATTGAATTGCCAGTAAAAAGGTATTGTATTTTATCATTACTCTACATTTCATAAAGCACAGCTATGATCTGCAGTTGTAGTTATTTGATGCAAGTGTAACATACAGCAGAATAGCAGCAAAGCACCCATCTCTAAAAACCCAGCAACCCTGGAACTGGAGAAATTCCCCCTCTGACAGAAACCTGCAATTACGATTGGGCAGCCAGCAAGACCCCAACCTAGGAAGCAGGACTACCCAAAAATTTTGTGTTCCATGAATCCCCGACTGCCCAAAGTCAATGAGTGCTGGCTGGTTAAACCCAACACCAGCAATCTTACTGATTCACACCAAAACCTTGGCTCTGGGAACAGAGAAGCATCACTGCCACTCACTCCTCATAATCTTTCGCCACTGGTGTTCAGGTGGAGAAGAGAGAATTAAAATATTATTCCAGTGGCATATGCTAAGCAATTTTGCTTCTGCATGTAAATTGAAAAGTCAACTCCAAAGTCCTTGATTCCAGACAATGTCAACTACAGATTTGATTCTAACCTTGTGACTTAACATCACTTCTACATTACTCAAGAACCACTGAATTGCTGATCCCTGCATGGATTTGGAAATGAATTAGTGTTACATGATGTTGAGTCCAAACCTCTGTCCTTAACTTAGGCTAAGTCCATATTGTTTTCAATTGGAGTGCCATTGGCCCACAATTACAGGGCTGAGCTGCATGTTGCAACGTCTTTGCTAATCAGTAAAAAATGAATTCCTATTTAATTTACATCACAAATACACCAAAATCCCAATGAAGCTCCCAGAAACCCAGGGGATGTAATCTTCCTCACCAAAGAAACAGACTATTTTTCTTAAAAATGCTGCTTTTTCAGCCAAATCCTCTAATCAGATAATTTTGAGTTGAAGAAAATCAATGGATAAGAAATCAAATAATTAACTTTTTTGACATAAAAGGATCACAAAACACTTGATAAGATAAGCCCTTCAGCTTCATTAAGGCCTTCTTTCCAACAACCATATGTGACCTGTGAGGCTCTTCATTCAATACATTAGACAATTAAGCTGGCCATAACTCAGAGGCTCTTTCATGAACTCTGTAGCTAGGTAAATTAAGGATTTGTGGTAGCATCCAGAGGATTACATGGATTTATTCATAATTTCCTTTGTTTCTCTTTCTTGAAGTAAAATTGTGGACTGGGGACAAGTATGAGACAAGTTTTTATATTATTCACTGATGAGAAGAAGGGCTCGACCTCCACAGGTAGCTTCCTTTTGCAGAGATGTCCAGCCACCTAGAGCTGCATTTTCCTCACCTGCCTGCCAACAAAAGCTTGCTGCAAAGCTCTGCTTGTCCACAAACCCAGCATGTATGATGGTACCTTTGTCTCAGGAAGCTAACTCCCAGAAGCCCGTTATATAATCCTTCTTTAGGTACTCTCTGCTATTTGTTTTCTAAATAATGTTGCTAGCTTTGATTTAGACTCCTAGTTTGGAGTCTAGTTATCTGGGACCCATATTCTTGTCAAGCCCCTAGTACAAAACAAAACATAACAAAACAAAACAAAAGAACTCGGGGTAGAACTGAGCAAATATTAGAACAAATTTTCCTAAATGAGACTTTGGAGAAACGTTCATGACTCATTTACATTTTTCTGAGCTTTTGCCAAGTACTAATGCCTTCTTCGGATCATTTCAAGGGAAAATAAACATCACCATTTTATTTGCACTTGAATTTTTCAATTGCAAGTACATCCTCAGTGCATTCCATCCTGCTTTGCTATGGGAACAAATATAACGTGACTTGGATAAAGCCAAGCCAAAGGGAAAGGTAGGGTTTCAATAATTGCAATATGTAGCATTAACTGTTTGCAGAGTAAAAATACATTTGTGAATGAAGCAGGCTCTTCCTCTGGAGCATCTGTGCCCAAAGGGTCATAAAATTCAAGGCATGGATTAATCCTCGCTTTATATTTAGCTTAGCCCTTTCAACATGAAGGCATGAAGAACCACAGATGGGATGCTCTTAACAAGCATCTCCTGGTCCAGACCACAGGGATTCTTAAGGACCACATTATTTGGAATGTTCCCCTCCGTTGGCCTAACAGGTCTTTTCTTCTACTGCAGCAGAAAATGGTGGATTTGCAGTTGGTTATGTTTCACAACAGAAACTTATGCTAAATGTGCTGAAGTTTCCATTCTCAAGAAAAAATAAAAACCAAATTCCTGCATGCAGACATCCCATTCTGCCTACATCAGAACACTTCACGTAGTAAGTAGAGAAGTAAATGCTTGGGATCTTTTTGAGAGGTAGGGGTGAGGATTTCATTTGCCTACTTCTCTTTCTTCAGCATTAAGGACAACTTTCTGGCCTCATTGAGAGCAGAGAAAACTTTTTAAAGGCTTTCAATAGCTCAGGAATTCACATTATTCCTTCTTTTCATTGTCAAAATAAAATGTTTGTAAAGGTTATGGAAAACAACTTGTCTCTGAGGAATAATAAACCCACATTTTTAAAGGTTCTTCCCTTTTTCTTTGTCTTATTATTTGAAGAACAACTAAATAACTAAATGTCAAGCTTTGTATGACACTATCTTAATGTTGAATGAATGATTTTTCAAATGCTTTAAAAAAACCCTAAGATAAAAATCAGAAACCTTGAAAAGATTAGTTTGCCATTGCATACTATAAAACTGCTTTTAATCCCAAGATTTACAGAACTGAAGGTTTTGGGATAGCTTTATGTGACAAGTCAACCTTTCAGAATTTGTAAATTCTGTAAATCTAATCTTTTTTTTTTCCTTTATTGTTCTTCTGGAAAATTCAGTAACAAAGCATGTGTTATCAAATACTAACAAGCTAAATGGAAAAAGGATTAAATACTAATAAAGCCAGAAAAAAAAAATCCTAAAAGTCATGACATTTTGCTCCCTTTTCAGCTCAGGGTTTAGTTCTCTAATTCTCATTAAATATGAGTAATTTTTTATAATTTTTAAGAACTTAGGTTGCATCTTTTTTTCATTTCCTGAGGCTTTGTCACCTTAATTGGGAAATGGTAATGTAGCATTGAAGAAGATTTTCAAGATTTCTGCTGCTGTAACTGTTCTCTATTCTTGTATCCCTCTATGATAAAATTAATGAACTAAAATTAATAAAATACTACAAATTTATACCTCGAGGCTTGGAGCTGGGGAATGGCAGAGGCACCAGATCTGGCAGCTGGATGAAAAACAGGCTCTGGTGAGCCGGTTTTGTAGCACAGAGCCCTCCCTTACCCAAGGAGAGCCCCTTGGGGGCAGCCCTACTGCTACTCTGCACAAAGCTTTCTGCCTTCAGCTCCACTGAGCCTGAGTGAGGCCTCTCCAAGAGCTGAATGAATGAGCTCCAAACTTAATACCTCAGTGCCTGTGACAGACATGTCACCAAAGGTTGCTCCTCTTTCTGTTTTGCACTTAATATATAAAATTTAGTTAATATTATAAATCTGTCACATCTCAGATGTTTCACGCCAGTTCACTTTTCATCTATGGCTACACTGGATAAATGCATATGTTTGTGTTGCCATAAGAAGATAAAATATTTCTCCTTTGCTAGCTTCATAATTCTGTTTTCAATATTAATGTTGTACTCCAAATAGATCAGTTGAAGAAATTAATCAGTGAAGGGAAGAAACGTGTAAGGAAAATGAATTATACATACAGGCTTATCCTCTGCAGGCTTAAGGAAAACAGCTAACCAAACATTGCTCCTGGTCAGGAAATTATCTTATTCATAAATACCAATTGAAATGTCATTCTCCCCCAATGAGCTTGAGTTCTGGAAGGGTGATTGAAGGGCACGTTTCTGATACGTCCCAAACACTCCATGGTGAGTGACAGGTTCAATGGCCTGTGACTGACAGCAAGAGCACACCCTGGCAACTGCTGGAGTGGATTTGAACGATGCACACCAGAATTACCTGGGAATGATTAA